CTGAGAGGCTGAGGTAGAGCCCAAGGAAATGGTAGCCGTGGGCACTGATGATGCTGGAGTAACAGTGGAGCTCCTGGTGGTGGCGCCAGAGGCACGTTCCAGGCCAGGGAGGGCGGCCGTGGTGGCTGGTGCTGACAGTGCTGACTGTCAGAGGGGCGAGCAAAGTTGGGGTTCTCAGGGGGATGCTGGAAGGGGTCATGCAGTGTTGTTCGGGGACAAACCCTACTCGGGGGTGAACTGGAAGTGGTTAATTGTCCTTGTCAGCAGCAGCGCCTACTACATCTTGCATGTCTAGATTAGCACATTTGTTCAGTAAAAGTTTATTATGCCCTACTGTGCGCCAGGCTCTGGCACCTCCTACGGGCAGATATCAGGCATATCAAAGTGAGCAAAACAGCCCTCGCTGGTTTGGCTCAGTGGATAGACTGTTGGCCTGCGGACTGAAGGGTCCCTGGTTCGATTCCTGTCAAGGGCACATGCCTGGATTGCGGTCTCGATCCTCAGTAGAAGGCAGCCAATCAATGATTCTCTCTCATCATTGATGTTTCTATCTCTGTCTCCCTCCTCCGTCCCCTCTGAAATCAATAAATAATAATAATTGTTTAAAAAAGTGAGCAAAACAGCCAGGTCCCTGCCCCGAAGGAGTTGCAGTCTATTTGGTGTCTTTCAAACTACCCATCTGGACCTATTAGTGACTCTTGAAATTAATTTAGTGAATCACCGTCATTTTTTTCCCAAGTATTATTTATTTTGGGACTTTTATTAAGTTGCATTTATACATGAACAGATTCATCTTTGATAACTTTGCTTTTACTTATTAAGTATATAAAGTATTATATATTATCTCATAAGACTTTCAGAATTGTATATACTGGGCTACAATATAAAATGTGTATCTTACAAAGGTTGCAGTAAAAAAAGTTTGAAAAACACCAGCCTTGTATATATATCTCATTAAGTCCCGAAAGAGGCCAGTGAAGCTGTTTGTGTTCGGTCTGGGACAGGCCTGGGCCCCCTTAACTCCATGCTCCCACAGCTACCTGGTGGCCCACACCCTGGGGCGCCGGATGCTGTACCCCGGCTCCGTGTACCTGCTCCAGAAGGCCCTCATGCCTGTGCTCCTGCAGGGCCAGGCCCGGCTGGTGGAAGAGGTGAGCCCCC